GGGACGTGTTCAGAGATACAAGAGTCACAGAAAACAAAGTAAACGGGAACCTTTTGGAGAGGAAGAAGGTGGACATGGGAAGTTGAGGAAACCCCACTCGAAGTTGAGGGAACCCCTATTATCTCAGTGGCAGAGGAAGGCAAGGCCACCTCTGAGATTGAAGAAGCAAATGTGAGAAGGGATTTGAGGAGAAAATAGAAGGTTTGTAGTGACCACTGAGAGGATAAGAGAGGGGGCTGTGGTCAAAAAATAAAGCTGCCTGGAAAGGCCAAATAAAATCATAAAGCACGTATTTGTAGAGGCCCCAACCCAGAGTCGTGTGGTTTTCTGAGGTGGTTCTCTGAGCTGGGGCATTCGGGGGGAGAAGGCAGAGCATGGCTGTGGCAGGACCGGCAGGCTAATGCGAGTGAACAAGGAGTATGATTGTTCCCAGTGGGTCCAGGAGGCAGGCCAAGAAAGGCAGCCTCAGTGAGAGCTGAACCTGGGAGAGAAAGGAAGGCATCCAGGGCGGGGAGATCTGGATGAGTACGGGGGGAGTGAGGGACCAGAGGGCAGGACAGAGTCTTGGGCATTTTTGTCACCCATAAAGGAAACCCTGGGCCCATTATCAATCATTCCCTTTCCATTTCTCTGTCTCCCAGGCCCTGGCAAACACTAGTCTGCTTTCTGTCTCTGTGGATTTACCTAGGCACATAAACGGAACCACGTAACATGTGACCTTCTGGCTATCGAGAACAGAGCTGCTATGAACATTTGTGTACAAGTATTTGTTTGAGTATCTGTTTTCAGTTCTTTGGGGTATATACCTAGGAAGAATTGCTCAGTCACATGGTAACTCTGTATGTTTAACTTTTTGAGGAACCACTGAACTGTTTTCCAGGGCCTACACCATTTTACATTCCCACCAGCAATGCACGAGGGTTCCAATTTCTACACAGCTTCACCAACACTTGTCATCGTACACTATTTTTTCACAGCCATCCTGGTTAATATAAAGTAGAATCTCATGGTGGTTTTGAGTTGCATTGCCTTAGTGATTAGCGATGTTGAGCGTCTCCTCGTGTGCTTATCAGCCATTTGTCTATCTTCTTTGGAAAAATGTCTATTCAAGTCCTTTGTCTATTTCATAATTGGGTTGTCTTTTGTTGTTGAGCTGTAAGAGTTTTTCATATATTCTGGTTACATGATTCGTAAACATTTTCTCCCATTCTGTGGGCTGTCTTTTCACTTTCTTGATAGTGTCCTCTTGATGCACAAAAGTTCTTAATTTTGACGAAGTCCAAGTTACCTATTTTGTTGTTGTTTGTGTTTTTGATGTGGTATCTAAGAAGCCATCGTCAAGTTCAAGATCATAAAGATATATCCCTATAGTCTTTTCTAAGACTTCTATAGCTTTAGCTCTTACATTTAGATCTTTGATCTATTTCGAATTAATTTTTTGCTTATGTCGTGAGGAAGGGTTGAAAGTACAAACTTTAAACCCATGACCCTTCATAATTTTTACTATTTAAACTAGGCTAATACATGACATTCTTCATGGGAAAAACCTTGGCATTCTCAGATTTAATATTTTCAGTTTATCATCAGTGAATGACCTCAAAAGGTTGGGGCACATGGTCATCGCACCGTGATATACATTTGGATGCACCGTGAAATGAGGCCGGTGTGCAGAAGCAGATCCCCAAACAAGCAGGCGAGCTTAGCCGGCCCTGGTTCCCCATCTTCTCCTGACCTTCACGGGCCCTCATCATCATCCAAAACTCAAGATTCTCATTAAGGGCTTGAAAGTGTCACTTACATTTAAAATTACACTTTACCGCATGTAAATGTGCAGAAATGGTATTAACAGATTTGGGTTTTGTGACAAGTGTCAAGAAAAAAATGCTGAGATGTCCTAAATTAAATTATAGCAGGCCAGAGGGTGGGAAGAAGAGACAAAGAGTTAATCTGAATGTGCACTGAAACTGTGACTCAACATCCAGGTGGCTATTTCAGCCTTTACAGAGACGAGCTGACCACCAGACTCCACCGCATCCTGCTTATGCATGAACTTTCAGACTGTTGTCCACAACCAATCCAGTAGCATCGAGTACTTGTTCCTTATGCACCTATCCCAGAACTTCTTCTGCTCCACCTCTCCCGCACCTCACATATAGCCAATGTAAATTCTTTCTTCCCCAAACTCATTGTACAAGAGCCCCCTCAGCCCAGGATGGCAGACATGTTGTCTTCTCCATCTAGCCATGCTGCCGGTGGTGTAGACTGCATGCTCCTGCTCCTCACCCTTTTTCTGGTTAGCATATGGATCAGTAAACCCTTTCTTTCAGAAAAGTTTTCAGCCTTGAAGGCTTTTGGTTTAACACAAGTCTCACCACAGTCTTATTCTTGGGCTGATAAAGCACAAGTTGAATGAATATTCATTAGGGAGGAAGAAAGGAAAGAAGGAAGGAAGGAAGGAAGGAAGGAAGGAAGGAAGGAAGGAAGGGAAGGAAGGAAGGAAGGAAGGAAGGAAGGAATGGAGAGAGCCTGCAGTGGGTGAGTGGCCCTCAAATCTGCTGCTAGCCTCATGTGGGAAACTAAAACATACATGCCAGGCGTCCCAACGGAGCTGCTGATCAGTGGCTATGGCTAAGACCTGGCAATCTGTAGGCTTCCAAGGCTCTCCAGTGGCCTCTGTCATTGGCCGGGTTTGGGACCTCAAAGCAGAAAAGTAGTTTCTGAAGAGATGCTCTGCAGAAGGGTGAGACTTGCTCTGAGCCGATTCAGGCAGCAAAACCAGGTCCAAGGGAAAAACTACAGGGAGGCAGAGCTTGCTCGGGATAAAGATTTTTCTCAACTTGTCAGCCATAAGGCCATGGGCCACCTTGTGAGAGTGAGCCTGACCGCAGGAAGGCTGGTGCCAAGGCCAGGCTCTAGGAAGAGGACCCCACATTGGGTGGGGCCTGGTGAGAAGGAAACACATGGCACGGGGTTGAATAAATCGCAGTCTAAAGCCTCTGCTCTACCTCTGGGAGCACAAATGAGCTATTTGACTCCTCAGGGCCTCTATACCAGGCAGAGGAATCCAGCAAAATGGGGGTGGTAGATGAGCTCTATGTGTTTTTTTTTTCTTTTCTCTTTCTCTTTTTCTCTCCTTCCTTGTCTTTCTTTCAATTTCCTGGTGGCAAAACCCTTTATCCAAATGAAATGTTGCACGCTTCCATAGAAAGTCCTTCTATTCCTCCTCCTGCAGCCCCCGCCTCCTTTGCCCCCGCAAAGCATCAATCCCCATGAAAACCAGTTGAAATGCCTAGGCTAGCCGCTATGCTTATAGCAAACACTAGCATGCCGCCGTTCTAAAATGATGAGGAGCAAAAGAATGCTCTTCTTGGGAAGGCTTGATAAGGTTCCAGGCTTAGAGAGCATCCAGATGAGAGACACCATAAGCAAAGGCTGCCTCTGAAGCTGGACTCTGAATCCACTGCAATTATTTGACTTAACTTACTTATAATCGCCTGTCTTTACATAATCTTCACTGTCTGCAGTACAGTAATTGTTAGCTGACTCGCTATCTTGCTGATGCAAAGATGCACCGTGATGGAGAACCTAGAATTTTGCACGGCCCTGAATTTTCAAGGCTGTAGCTAACAAAACGCCTACCCCCGGGCTTAGGATTTGCTGTGGGGAAAGCAAGAGCTGGAGGCCACCTGCTTCTGTGTCCCCCACGGGGAGACGCCCGCTGGATGCACGATGACTGGTTTATTTTCCGTTCAGACGTTCTCTTCTAGACTATAGTTATGTGAAACAAGTGCAACAGCATCTGAAACTGTTGCCAGGGCAACCTGACAAAAGACTTCACCATCAGCTACTGTATATGTAATTCGTAAAAGGCAGCTGGCTCACAGAGAAAGGAAAGAGAAGGGAATAGGTTGTGACTTTTGATCTTGGAAAGTAAAGTTGGAAGAATATTTTCCGGTTAAATCAATTTACATAGAAAGTTGGGACTCATACAATAAAAATTCAGAAAAGTCAGGAATGGAATGTTAAGAAGAATCTTAAACTTTTTTAGTGTGATATCTGTAAAATAGTCGCATATCAGGGCTTTTAACATCAAGGTGCCTAAAGATCTGGAGCTGAAAGTATGCCCTGAACAGGAGGGAATAGTGGAGAGGGCAAGCAATTGAAGAAAGCAACCGGAATATTCAAGTGCGTATAGACACACAGTGAATGAAGCTGGGAGGTTTTGACACATCTGCTAGCTCTTCTCTCTCACAGCCGTAACCTCTCAGGATAGCAAGCACCGCCCTGAGACTGCCATAACCGGCATTGTAGAGTTGGGACAAGTTTAATCTGCTCATGATATCAACGAAAAGACTAAGACTCATTAAAGATAACCCGCTAGAGGTCACCCAGCTAGGTAAGAGCAGAACCAAGCCAGAAGCCCTGTGTCCTGCTTCCCCATGATCTTTCCATTAACTAGTGCCTATGTTTTGCGGACATCAGTTTATTCTATCTTTGATAGAGGCATAACCCGGACCAGCTTTCAAAGCATGCCCCACAGAGTCAGGGGCCGAGCTGTGACAGTGCCAGGCACCCACTGCCCTTAAAGGAATATCTCCCTTTGCATCTATTTTGATATCTCTTGGGGCCTCACTTATAATTATGTAAGGGGAAAATCTATTTTATAAAAAGTTCAAAGATCATCAGTCTAAAGATAAATAAATTATAGATAGCGGTAATGGTTGCACAACCTTGTCCATACACTAGAACCCCTGAATCACATGCTTTAATATGATAAATTTTATTTTATTTATTATGTTTTATATAAAGTATAACATGTAAATCATATATTTATATTTAAGTTAAAAAACTTAAAATATCTTCATTTACACAAAAGGGGCCACTAAGACAGGCACCGAGTTGTACTTAGGGTCAGAATCTAAATAGGAGTATATCCTAACAACGCTGACCCAGAGATCCGCCCCCCTCCACCCCCCAGAACCCCTTGGGTGGCTCCTTACTGAGTTGGTGCCGAGGATCTGCAGGTTGGGCTTCTCCGACTCCAGCAGCTTGGCCACCATCTTGAGGAAACTCTCCACAAAGAGGTTGATGCTCTGGCAGTGGCAGGCCATGAGCAGCTGGTCCAGCGCCTCCATGGCGATGCACACGTACCTGGGGAAAGCAGCAGTACAGCTGTCAGTCAGCTTCACGGTCGTCAGTTAGCTTCATGCCCATTCTGCCCATGCTGCATGCCTGGGGCAATGTAGAGTGTGTGAAGTGACCTCCTGGGCAGCATCCGGGTAATGAGGCTCTTCTATAAGTTGTCAATACCCAGATGTCATCCTAACAGAGCCCACCCCAGCCCAGCAATGAGAATCAGAACTAGAAGAGCTGAAAGACCAACTCGCCCAGTATCCCGTTTTACAGCTAAAGAACATGAGGACAGATGAGGCGTACCCGTTCATGAGTGAATACATGCAGAAAGAATTGATGTCCAGAAGAGCAAATTCTGATCCCAAATCCAGTGAGATCAGAGCATTACTTGATCCAAGTCAAGATGTGTTTGTTGAACGCCCACTGAGGAAAAGCTCTGTCCTACTCAGTGCAGGGGGGTGGAAGGATGAAGAAGGCCTTCAAGTTAAGGAGCCTAGAGTCTTATGGATGAGATAAAAACACAGATATCTCTCCTAAGGGGAAAATAAGAAATGCTACACGAACATCACGCATGACGATCTATGAGCATTTCCAAGAAAGAGACAGACGGCTCTGGGGGGAGGAAGTGAAGAACTTTATGAAGAAAGTTTGTGAAGAATCTGAGATGGGCCTGAGGACCAGCCAATGCAACGATTAATAAACATAAATTTGCAAGTTTGTACTTAAAGACCTCAGAAGTTCTATGATGAAGTACCACACAAATAATCTGGTTGACAGTATTACCATGTTTGTGTGACACCTTACTTAGGGAGCATTTTTACCTCATGGAGGAAAAGACAGACATAGAATTAAAATTCTCCTCTCCTTATGAAGAAGATGCTCTGTCAGTTTAAGTCCCTAACTACTTCATGCTTTTAAAGCCTAAAACCTAAGTGACTACCTTCAGAACTAGGAAGACACAATATCCAACGGTCAATAGCATACTAATTGAGTCAGCTCATTCCATTTCTTGACAAATAAAAAGTTCTTTATATTTCAAGCAAATCCTAATAACTTTTATCCTTTACTTACAATTCTACTTATAGGAGCAGTAAGAAAGAGGGCTGACCTTCTCCTACCTGCCAGCCCTTTACCCACTTGAAAACAACAATCTCATTTTTCTTGTTCTTCTATTCTCCATGCTAAAAATACCCAATCCTTCCCAAACCAGGCTTTGTAGGACAACCCCCAAGTATCCTGGTGGTCATTGTCTTCTTCAATGTCTCTCTTAAATCCCAAGAAAAATGCCAAAAATCATGTTCCTACTGAGAATTAGGTGTGCATGTCTAAGCTCATCCCGATATTTGTTCCATAATGGTGACAGAACAAGCATATGCTCAGGTAAGGTCCATCGTGAAAGATACAGCCCTCACTTTCAAAGCGTTTGCATTCTAAAGAAAATAAGAAAGACGTTCATAAAAAAAGGCTAGCTTTTAACTTCCACTGAGAAAGCTGCTGCCAAGCTGTCAAAAATTATTCTGGTTTAAACCTTTATCATTTTCTTTAAGGAGTGAGGTTTCTGAGGCAGAATGCTAGATGTTTCCCCTAGAATCTCTCCGCCCCCCGCCTGTCTAGTAATTTAGAGTTTTAGCCGAGCTCGTGGATCTGAGTAGGAACATTTCCCAGTCTCTCTTGCTGCCAGGTGAGACCACATGACTAAAACGTTGCCATTAAGATGAGGGGAAGTGAGGTGAGCAGCGTCGGCATCGCTGGCTTAAAAGGCAGGATTTTCCTCCTGTCCTCCCTTCCCTCTTCCTGCCAACTGCGAAGTGAAAACCATTGGAGACCCAGAGATGAAAGTCCCTGGATGGCCTTGTGGCACAGAGCCACTGTATTTTTGAGTCTCTTTGTATTCTAAATAACACAAGTATTTGTTAGTCAGGTTTAGGAGTGCTTTAGAAAACTCACGGTGCAAATAAAAGTGAGTCCTGAGCAACCCAAAGCAAGTCAAGTGATGGACCTCATAGGAAAGAGAAGTAAGTGTTGAAATGGTTCCATCTTGCTGGAGGGAGGTCATCGCAAAGCTTCATGCACTCGGAGTGTGATTTTTTTGTGTGCCTGTTAGGGGTGGCGAGCCTCCTACTTGTAGAACAAAACCATGTGGAATAGAAAAGTACTTCCGTAAACAAAGAAAATGCAGAGGAGGTAAAGCAAGCAGAGAATCCACAAACATAACTGTGGTGCTAAAGAATCAGCCTCTAAGTCCACAGAAAGTAGCAAAAGACCTCTCTCAAAGATGATGGTAAGGCTGTCGCCGCGGGCTTTTAAAAGTGTTAAAGCTGCCGGACACTCTAAAGTCAGGTTCACATGCTGTACCTAGAGTGAAGGATGGATTAAACCATGTGCTCTTTACGTCGCAAGCCATATCACATCCATCTTTGAACAGTTAGGCAGCTATTTAAAAGTCCTCGATTAGCTAGTCTTTGTTTTCTTTTTTAAAACAAAGTTTGGTTAAATAAAAAGAAAGCACAGAGAGTATGACTGTAGGATTTCTGGAGACAACACAAGACCAAACACAAGGCTCCATAAACCTCCTTGTGGCAGCCACTCAATTTCATACAGTGTGTGTCCAAAATGCCTCTCATGAGAGTCAGCTTTGCAAATCTAAGCAATAAGATAACAACAGTCATGGCATTTTCTAAATGTTTTTTTTTTAAGACATCAGTAACCATTTCTTAGGTGCCCTTGAGCTAACTTCTATACTGAGCAACCATAAGAAACACAGCCTCCCTACTTGGAGATTTTCCTGTCCACTCTTATAAAATGTTTCTTTTCTCTATACGCACCGAGTCAACTATTATTAAAGTATTATTTAATATTATTAAAAGAAAATGTTATTAAATATTAGTAAATAGTTATCTCTGGGCACATTCACAAGTGGATCAGGTCACACTCTTATCTACAAAGTGTCCCTTAAACAAAGGCAGCTTTGGGTCTTTGAGTCCCTTTGGTGATGGAGCCACCATTCCTCCCTGCTCTGGGGGCAGGCCATTCCTGGATCGAGAGAGCCTTGCTATTCAGAGGCCATCACGGTCACAGTCCAGAAAACCTGCTGTGACGTGTGGGCCCAGTCCCAGTATGGTTGGGGTCCACTGTGCGGGCCAGTGAAGCAGACTGCATCCCACTGGGCTGGGGCCCTTTGAAAGGGGCAGACTTTCCCTGCAGACGAGCCTGGACACATTCTGGCAATGAAACATGGCGGGTGGGACGTGGGGGCAGGCAGTGTGGCGTTCTCTGATGAATCATCCCAGCATCCTTCTGTATGAAGGGTTTCACCATTATTTTATAGAGTTTAAATGAGGGAAAGGAAGAGGCGGGGCGGGTTGGGGTTTGGCAAGAGAAGAAACTAGAAGGCCTCCCAAACCCTAGAGCTTAGATTGCTGCTTTTCCTTTTCCTGTAAAAAATTCCCAGAAAATCCTGATAAGGAAAATCCATCTGCTAAAAAAAAAA